TACACATTCGGATGAAGAAGAGCAATTACAACCTGTGATCGATTTTTTTGCAATCTCGGGCAAAACAAGACGACGCGTACGGGTCCCTCGATGAATTCATCATTCGCTATGGTCATCCTGTCGGAAATCCCAGGGGAGATGTCGAAGAATACCTGCATTGGATGCTCAATGATGTCCGAGGTTGCTGCCGGGTCTTGGTAGAGTCATATAATGTTGGCCTTATACCCTGGCTTTGGGAACGCCAATGGTTGACGGATGGTTCACGATATAGGGCTCAAGGACACGAGTTTCATGGCGATAATTTTATCGTTGTCTAGAGACTGTTACGAATTGGGTAGACTACTTCCATATGCCAAAGCGATCACTGCTTTCAAGTTGTTCTACAGACTACCGCTGAGAATGGAGATTATCAACGCGATTTTGCCAAATATTCAATCTACTGACAAGGAGAATTCGAGACTGCAGGTGAAGTATTCGGCGTGCAAGTCAAATCGGGAGTTCTGTCGTGCTTGAAACTCAGTCGGGCGCAAAAAGAGAACGACTTTATTATGTTGGACCTGTATGACATAAAGCACAAGTAATACTATGAGTAAAGACAAGAGAAAGTAGGATATAAGAAAGCATACCTGAGTCGGGCGCGATAGAGAACGACTGAGGTAGCTCCTGAGTATCGTATTAGGCGTAGCTCGATCGAAAAGGAGATTAAGGGGAATACATGCGCGTCTCTAGAGAGACGCGCCGGGTGCCATAGTTAGGAAGCTCGGTGGGAATCCAACTAACGTAGACATGTGTTGAAATGGATGTTCTTCCCGGCGACATTTTATTCTCAAGTTCCAAGAAGGCAAGATCTGGGGCCAGTGTACTGACTTAGATTCCAGTTTAGAGTCGCCTTGCAGTTCGTAGTAAAAAAGCTCCTCCAAGCCCACGTTTTGAGTGCGGCATGGATGAGCCTTCGCCAGTGGTTTGTGGACGCAGAGCGCGGTCGACAATTACCGGAGGCAGGACCAACCGTTCGCGTCCACTCCAAATGAGTTGCGACGAAGCGCAAAGCTGATGGCTGATCCGCGGTCACGAGGTCAGCCACATCACACTTTTCTTCCTAAGACCATCACCGCTGTTGGGCGCGCTCTGCGCTATCCGTGGTGCGGCAAGTCTTGCGTTTTGTCGACCGCGCTCTGCGTCGACAGAATGCGCGAGGTATGGAAGGCGGAAGTCGTCCGAGCTGTAACAGGAGCTCATACAACGCTCTTTTCGCCGTCTCAGACAAGTCCGCTGACCCTAATTTGGCCATGGGCTCAACGCCTAGAAAAGAAAAGCTAGCTCCCTTCAATGCCGATGGACCACAAACATATCGAAATGCTTGCCAAGCATCTGAATTGGCAGAACGCTTCAGAACGCTTCCTGCCTGACCCTTCCTGACGATCGCAAACATGGAACAATTAGGAGCAACGCTAGGGCCGAGAGTTGCGATTAAATTCTGACCTACGTCATCGCCAGAACGACTTAAATTCGCCCTCTCGTTCGATTCACCCGCCATCCAACCATGCCCGTCTTCTCCGCCAACTCTCTGCCGCATTCTCCCCTGATTCCCTTGGCCCTCCCTGGTCGCGGCAAGGAATACCCCGATCTGTCGTTGGCCCCGGGCCATCCTTTTGCTATCAAGCTCAAGGATGGTACCTTCGCTGACGTCTACATCTATCATCAAGACACGTCTCAGGCGGGACTAGAAAAGACTTGGGCATGGGAGCGTACTCTCACCATTCCAAGCAAAACTGAATCAGAGTTGGTGGAATCAGGTAAGCTTTTGCTTTCTGCCATCGGCTACCTGTTCTTCATCTGTTCTAGGATGGCTCAGACTCAAAAGTGGCGACCTTATTGCGTCTCGCAGTTCTGCTGGAACTCAGCTCCCTCACAATGACGTTCCCATGGCTTGGGTCGTCGGCAAGTAAGTTTCAATGCGCGCTTTGCTGTTTTACCCATTTAATTGACCCTGTCTACAGAGAGCTCATTCCTCTCGATATCAGCGACGCTACACTTATCCAACGTAACCATTTTCTGGGACCTAGCACCGAACGCACCTTGCAGCGCCCAGCGGTTCAAATTATCGATGGCCAACAGACACTTGTTGGCGGCATAGCTTTCGAACGAAGCCCGATTGCCAAGTATTGGTGATGTTTGGAAACGCTTCCTGGAAAGCAGCGATTATATGATAAGACTATTGATACGCTAGAGAAAGGCTTGATGTACAGTATGGATATACAAATTCAGAGTTGGCGGAATGGTAAATGCTTTCGTTTACAGTGAAGAGGAACAGTTTGCGAACGCAACAAGGAGGAGGAGTCTAATTTTTTGCCCAGTTGGCTCCTCGTTATAGCATTCTTTACCGAGCTCAGAGGCCGCATAGTTAGAGGATCGTTGGAGCGTTGGATAGGCGCTGGAGAGGGTTGGTTGTTGTACCTAGTATAAATTCGCTCGGTTTGTTTCTAGATCTGTTGGATCAACATGGCTTGCTTACATCATTCGCTACGATGGCCCGGAGTTGCGTCATGTATCATTGATCCTGTGATACAGCGCTGATGTTCGGATGGTTAGAATTTGCTTCAAAGCACAGGGCAGAAATTAGTGAGACGCTCAGGCTGCTCGTTCGCTTCTATTTATTCCATTCCAAAGCGCACGCGCACGCAATAATCCCGCGGAGTCGTCACCGTATCAGTCACGTCACACTTTTCTTCCTAAGACCGCCACCACTGTTGGGCGCGCTCTGCGCTATCGGTGGTGTGGCAAGTCTTGTGTTTTGTCGACCGCGCTCTGCGTCGACAAAATACGCGAGGTATGGGAGGCGGAAGTCGTCCGAGCTGTAACAGGAGCTCATACAACGCTCTTTTCGCCGTCTCAGACAGTCCGCTGACCCTAATTTGGCATGCACTTCCCACTCTTACCATCCTATCCTTAGTAACTCCATGCCCTTCATCTCGCCGCGGTACCCGTCGCTCCACTCCAATGGACTTTGCAAGTGCACCGCCAGCCAAACGAGCAAAGATCGCTCGTGAGTATGTGGAGTCTCTCGAGCGACAAGCGCGCTTTCTGGGTGCTCATGTCACCCTTGCTGGCTCCCAAATCAATCAAATGCAACAACGTGTCAATGCGAAGGAGGGTAGGCAATCAGCTCGACCGAAACTCAATGTTGAGGCTCGTCCCTCGACTTCCGAGGAGGGTCTACGACTTGTCGAGGAACGCGATTGAGCAGCGCGGGAAAAAGAGGCAGAGAAATCTCGAAAAGAAGATGAACGGAGGCCTAGGAACGTGAAGAGGAAAGGGACCGTGTGATGAACGCGTCGAGCATGGTTTTCCGCGGGGCATTGACAGGGCGGAAGAAGAACAACCTCAAGACCATTGCCTATGCCCTCGGAATTTCGATGGACGGCACGAACAAGCAGCTCCTAGAGCGCATTACGAACCATCTTGACCAGAACCCTGATGTACGTGCAGACCCGCGATTCGCTGAGCTGGGCAGCGGCCGTATCCGAGAATGCTGAAAACATCAAGGATAATACCCCAGCACCTTCTCATTCCGCTCCTTCACCAACGACACGACTCCCCCCCCGATATCACACCATGAACTCATCTTCCTCGTCCACCTCTTGTAGATATAACAAACATGGCCTATACTGGCCGACACCCTCCGTCTTCCAGTTCATCCATGACCAACACCATACCTTTTACACCTAATCCCCCTTATACCTTTTCTCCATTGTATAATTCCTCGTTCTCTTCATCATACATACCTTCTACTCCCTTTCAAGACTAAATCTACGTGTACCACAATGGAAAGACAAGTTGGCCATGGGCAAGCGGAGCTGCACCTTTTGCTGCCGCTTCCCACTTTTCCAATGCTGCATTGGCCTCCTTGAGCTCGCGCCGCAGCCGTTCACGTTCCAAGAATAACATGTCCCTCTTCTCTCAGCTCGTCCATTTCCCCTTTGACCTCTATTAGCCGCGCCTGGTAACGCTCCAACTCTCCACGCAGATCGAGAGGAGCGCGTTCATCTTGACGCTGTTTTCTACAAACTGTAAGTAAAGGAATATATCACAGAAGCCAGTTACGCACCTTGGAGTTGCTCAATCTCCAGCTGAGACAGTTCTTGCCCCGCCTCTTCGCCATAAAGTCGATCCGTAAATGTCTGGTCTCCCGTCTGCGAATCCAGCGCACCGCCTCGCTCGAAATATGGCCTGCGGTTAATTGGCCACAGCGAAACGGCCACGCACATTGAGCTTGTATCTGGGCTTGAGCAGCCTCTTCTGCTTCCCGAATAGCTGCCAAATCCGCGTCATGGGCAACGACAGCCCGCACATTCTCTTGCTGGCCTTGGGCTTTGAAGAGCAGTTGGAAAGATGTCGATTAAGAGCCGAAGTGCTCTTGTAGTCCTTCTCGTAGAAAGGACGCTTGATGACAGCGAGCACGAGCAGAAAAAAGAGCCAGGGCCCAGATGACGCGTAAAAGCATCTGCCTGGAAATTCAGATGAGATGACATATGACAAGTCCAATCGCGCACCTAAGCACATTAGTGTATGTCCCAGCTTTACATTCTACATGGAAATGGGGACTGGATTGACCGTTGGACGCGTTTTTGAGGGGTTGGCCGGTTTGTGAGCGTGTTGTCACCGTCGGACGACGTTGTTTGGCTGTTGTGAGCGTCTTCAGAGCTTCCTAGTGGTGATGCGCAAGTCGCTGACGATATTGACGGTCGCCTGAGGGACGGCGGCGGGAAAAATGCGGACACGTGATCGCCATTATGACGCAGCTATTTGCACGTATTTGCTTGACTATGCTAGGAGCGTTGAGGCCATAAAAACAAGATATACATAGAAAGAACGGATTCGCAGTGTGTGATGCAATTATATATCTCCAATTATTTCTTCAGACAAGAACTTATACATACACAATCGGGCTTGGGCGCGTGTTTCCGCAATTCCCGTTCGACTGAATCAAAAAGTTAGCTTCAGAAGGATGAGAAGTGGAAGAAAATCGCACTAGAGGCAAGATGTTTGCTGTAAGCAGCATGTTTGCGCATAGTGGCCAGTTGGGGACGAATAGCATTGGTGAGAGCCTCTTTCTGCTCGCCTTCCGCTACTGCAAGCGCTCGCTGGAGAACATAATCTGAATCGCGAGTGAGAAGGGCTTATCACAGTCTTCTTAGTTGGAAAACTCACTGCCGTATTGATCCTTCATGAGCAACCCGATTGGTGTCAGGCCATCAGGTCGCAAAGCCGGTCCCATCAGTTCTTCGATTATCGCCTTGCGACCATCTGAGTCACCAAAGATCATCGCCTTCTCACAGACGTTGGAGGCAAACTTGTGGCAAGCCATTGCTAGCACGCGCCCGCAGGCTGAGTAAGAATGGACGATCGGTCGCAAGGCAATCCGTTTTCCAGAATGAACTGGACGATATAGTTCTACAACCAACGCAATAAGCCAACTTGAAGAGGAAAAAGAAAGGCAAGTACTAGCACTGACCCCAAATTGATCTTGCATAAGATTAGCGGTATGACTTGTAAGTTCATCGAGAAGTGGCCGGGTGTATGGTTCAGGAAGGTGACGGAGACATTGTTGCAAGACATGACAGCCAAATGGATGAGAAGCAAGCCCATGGGCGTGGCCGATGAATGTTGAAATGAAACCAAGTCTGTCAGGGGAAACTCGTTCGATAACCTTCTGAATAACCTTGATGCGAATGAGTCATGTTCATTCCCCAGCCTCAGGTAGATCACCTACGTGATTCCCGTTCGAGTCTTTGGCACATCTGAGAATATGGGGCTCGAGTTCTTGAACAAACTTGACTTGCTGCTCCGGAGTTACACATTCAAAAGCCTTTCATTGTTGTTAGCTATTCGTAAGTTGGTTAGACGTCGACTTGACTTTTTGCACGACGCGGCAGCCATAGACATTGGATGATAGATAGATGATATGGCCTTCCATGGCACCAACAAGAGTGTCCTTGTGGGCCTGGGTACCATGTTCCAGTAGCTTCTGTATTACCTGCAGTGAGCAGAGTCGTAAGCTGGGGACGGCAAAAGTTGAAGCAACTCACATAATTACCGAAAACATCTTGAATTAGATGTAATGTATTGTCGGGGTCGATTTCATCGAATACGCATTGGATTTCTTCACTTGTGGCACTATTGAGCTTGGTTTGAATGAAACGTGATCCGTGTGGATCGCTGCTGAATTTGACAATATGACCTTTGAGGTTCTTGAGCTCCCATTTCTTGCCCTTAGCCAAACGAAACTGGTCCAGCATCTTAAATGAGGGTGTTTGGGTTTCAAATCGGCGACTTCCGCGCGCCATCATACCAAACCCAGGCCCACCACCGTACATATTGAGTATTTGGTTCCTATAATCAGGCTGAGGAGGATAGCCCATCATGATGGGAGAGAGCGGTGGAAACATCGCATTGCGTGATGCTAGCTGCTGTTGCAAGTTGTACTAAACGTGCCATTCAAGTTGTCAATAACGCAAGACGATAAGAGCGGTGTCAAGTTCATACCTGCATTTCAATCTTCTTCTCAGTTATTGTAACCGGCGTTGGAGGCAGTTGCGATGGAAGCATGGGTGACGGCGGTTGACAAAGTATCGGAGAGGTTGGATAGTAAAACGGCGGAGGCAAGTTGTAGTCGAAAAAGGCTGGTTGTCTTGGGTCAGGCGAACGGTCTGGTTGAACGATGGTATATGGAGGCATCGGTGGTCGAACAGTGGTATATGGAGACATCGGTGGTCGGTAAGCATCAAGATCTAGACTTGCATAGTGCCAGTGCGCGCATTCAGGAAAGGCTTCAGGTCCAAGCGCATGCCATGATTGTTGAGGCAGAGGTGATGTCGGAGAGGTGGAAGCTTGTACTCGGAGGATTTCCCTGCGTGAAGGTTGGATGGTAGAACAGCGGAGGTAAGTTGTGGTCGAAAAAGACTGGTTGCCTTGGGTCAGACAAAAGGCTGGTTGAACAGTGGTATATGGAGACATCGGTGGTCAGTAAGCATTCAGATCTAGACTTGCATAGTATGTGTATTCAGGAAAGGCTTCAGGTGCAAGATCATACCGTGGTTGTTGAGGCAGAGTTGATATTCGAGAAGTGACTCGAAGGATTTCCCTGCGTGACGGGGACGGTTCTAACCCCCACAATTGAACAAAGAAAACTTTCTTCGAGGTAAAAACAGACATACCACTCACTGCCTTAGAGGACTCTACGGATGCATTGCGTCGTTGAGAGCGACAATTCAACTGTGACTCAGACCAGATGTCACAGATGTCATACACCACCATTGAAATGATATGTAGATTAGAGCTTATTAGCTGCCACGAAAAACGCGTTTTTTTCTTTTCTATTTGCCTTGTAATTTCCTTCTAAAAATTTGAGAAGTGGAGCGATTTTCGTTGAAACTTTTGCTATCAGCCGCGGTGTCAACGGCCTGTCATCTCAATAAGGCGAGACCGGCGTTGATTCCGGTGATGCTGCTGAGTCACTCGACGGCTTTCCTCCCGCCAGAATGTCGCCGTAACATGCCTTGCCCGCTCTTCCAGCCAGTTCTCTCCACTCTCCACTCCCACCAACCCAATTGCTCTTCATCAGGTTTCAAAGCAGCGCTGAAAGCCCCTGCTCCACCTCACTTACTGTTGGCGGACGATCACGCAACAAGACGCGTATGACGCTCCAAAACGTGTCGCGCTTGAAACATGTCCAAGTCGCGTCGAGCTTCAAGGAAGGGTTGGATAGCATGGAAGTGGCTTGTTGGCATGGATGCTGGGCTCCATGGGCGAGCCGAGGCTCCACCATAAGGACATGGATAAAAGGTGTGTGTGGTTTCAGTCAGTATTCCTCCGCAATCCGCTCACCAGCCATGGAACGCAAAGACGGTACCTACGCACTCTACAATTCTACGCTCAGCAAGCCCTTTCGACTCCCCCGGTATCGAAGACCTCACCTCGCGGGGTTTTTTTGGCCAACTTGACGAAGCCGAGCTAGCACGACAAGCGCCAGTGTCTGCATCTCCCACTGGATACAGCTCTCCCTGGTCCCCACTCGCTTCCAGCATCCAAGTGCGTTAAACATCCCAGATTCCGCTCATACGAGTCATGGATGCAGTAGTTGTTCGCTAAGGCCCACACCATGTTCCTAAGGACTGGGCTGGTGAATCTAGGAACGTTTGCGGCGGCCTGTGCTATCATCGTAGCAATAGATGGAATATCCCCTAGTGCCAGCGGGACTGGTTGATCGGTTTATCATCGTGCTGAAGAAGAGTCAAGGAGAGTGGTGCCCGAGATTTGAGGGTGTCAGCAGTCATGCTGAACGATAGAGGATCGTCTTCTGAAAAGCTGTACGCTTACTGCTCATGCGTGAATTTGCCGATGCAGGAATGTGAGCACGAAAATACGGATGGCCGGGATCTTCGTATGCAAGTTACTTCACTTCTGTCGAACATTGCTTTCCAACCAGCTGAGTTGCCCAAATGGACAGGGCCTGCCGAGCATAATGAATATCATCCAGCAAAGCCGTCAAAACCTTTTCTCTTATTAGTCTCGGTTAACAGAACGGTACTATGGTGAAATGCGTACCTGTAATTGAAAATCCACGATTTCTCCCTCAATTCTCAATGGATTAGGATGGAAAGTAGTGCATTTTGAAGGGCCTGTTCACCCGTATAGGCCGATACAAAAATCGAATGTACTTTACCCATTCATGGCATGAATGTCGTCCATTCCATTCGTCACCACACCTGTCCACCGTGGAAACCCCGCAATCGTGACCCATAGATCTTGTCGGAACTTGGGAGGGACTTCGGACAGCTGATTGAAGGAAAACTCAGAGAAAGTTCGGGTCAAACACGGAGAGATATCAAAATTAAAGTTGACGAGCAGATTAGCCACGAGTCAACACGCTGCGCTATGCGGGTCCTTCGAATCCAGAGTTTAATCGGTCGCGCAAGCCGCGAGAGTTTGCCTGCAGAACCACAGCAGAGACAATGAGATGAGTGCGTAAGCTTTTCGTAGTCTCTCCGCTCAACATGGTGAGAACCTCGGGTCCTGAGAGGTAAGCGAAGGGTGATAGATTCTCTGCGAACAGTCGCATAAACTCGTTTGTGATGAGATCGAGAGTAAAGCGCTTGAGGTCGTAATTAGCTTCCTTAAGCTTTTCAGCGAACTCGTCCAAATCAAGCTCCGAAAGTTTCCGTTCATTTTCTGGATTGTCCATGGTCAAGCCGACAACCCAAGACGGGTGCTTGTCTTGGATGTCGTCTTCATCGTAGCCAATATCATCCATAGCCATCTTGCGCGCAAAGTTCGTAGTCCTCTGGGTGGATTCGTGTGTTGTCTAGCGGGTCATAAGTGTGCTCGTCCTCTGCGCGGAATTTTCCCTGGGTTTTGAGGTCTTCCTGCCGCGTAATTCGAATGAATCCGGCAGCATTCATGAACAACGACTTGGTCAAGAGTTCCGACTGATGAATTGTTCCCGATTGATGATGTTCTCGCCCTTGTAAAAGAATTAGACAATATCCACAACTAAGAGTTACAGTGTTTACCAAGCGCTCAATCATTTTCACAAGTTGCTCAGTTGCTGGGCCTGCGAGGACCAAGACCACAGATGGTAACAGCGTTTGGTAGTACGCGTCACCCACGGCACGATTGATGTCCACTCCAAATTTGTTGACTACATCGATGAGCACCCGTTAACAGAGCTCCTTCAAGTTCAAGAGCTCCGGAGAAGAACCAGAACCAGAGAGGAGGTGGTGGTCGCGTCTGTGATGCCAAATGAAGGGTACTTCAACAGACTCGATGAACAGTTGTCGCAAAGTATATGTCACAGCTTCAACGAAGTGCGGGCTGAAAGGGTTAAGCTCGCCGTTGGGGGTAAAATAGTCCAAGGCTTTCTTCTTGGAGACGCGCGGAGTCACCCAGATAGCGGCATCGTCAAGTTCGTCGGAAGAGAGATGGAGTGACTGGAGCTTTGGAAAGCGTACAAGACGCGAGTTACATGCGCTCAGGAGAATCCTTCACGCAAATAAGATCGTCATCTTCTGTTGGGAAGAGATTCTGTATTGTCGAGGGTTCGAGGACCTGAACGAGAGTTAATGGATAATTGTGGGGAAGGCAAGTTTGCGCACACCCCATCCTCCATACCATAGTCGTAGTCATGCCCATCGTCAGAAACATCGTATATCTCAGGCTCTTGCCATGAATATGTCCATGAGAAAATGAACATGAGGCTTTAGGTGGAATCAAAAAACCTTGCATTTATGCCTGTGAGTTCTAGACGAGTACGAACCATCTTTCTCATAAGCTCGTCTAGGGCCTCTGCAACACAGTCTCCAATCGCGGTGGCCTTTCCTTTCCCGCAGAACGGGTCCGACGAGCGAGTTCCGTTGCAGGGCTTGCTGTTTTTTTTCTGGCAAATCTTTCTGGCTGCTGGGTGGTGTACGGTGCTGGGTTTGGGATCGAGGCGGCGTACAGTGCGCAGAATGGCGAAGCAGGCACTTGTTGGGCTGCAAGCGTAGTTCTGCTGCAGCAGGCAATTAGCCACGAGTCAACACGCGGCCATAGATCTTGTCGGAACTTGGGAGGGACTTCGGACAGCTGATTGAAGGAAAACTCAGAGAAAGTTCGGGTCAAACACGGAGAGATATCAAAATTAAAGTTGACGAGCAGATTAGCCACGAGTCAACACGCTGCGCTATGCGCGCACATGTTTCCTTCTATCCCAGACACAGAGTCGAAGCGCAAAGCGCGCGCTCTCGTTCATCCCCGGTTGGCGGCGCGTTGACCATCAGTCATGTCACAGTCATGTCACACCCATCCCCGTTTTCTTCCCAAGACCTCCACCACCGTTGGGCGCGCTCTGCGCCTTCGGTGGTAGGCCTTATTTCTGGTCACTGTTGGGCGCGCTCTGCGCCAACAAACCACTGGCACACATCGTAATGTTGGCTTCTGGTGAGTCGTTCTTAATATTTCGGCGTTTTGTTTTTCGCTGATGGTACTTTGCGGGTCTAGCTCGATGAGTCGCCTTGCCGTCGATTGAGAAATTGGGTAAGTCCTCATGTCTCTCGCAAGATTCAAGACAGGAACTCAATCTTCATATCCCAGCTCCCTAATCCGACGTGTAAACAGCTGGCGACGCTGCGGCCGAGACTTGGGAGTAAACTCTGACCTGCGTCATTATACAACTTGGCTTTACAAAGTGCACAATTCTCCTCCTCGACCGCTTCTTCCAACATCCACGAAATCTTCTTGGCAAGCCTTCTTCGTGTCCTCCATTCTTGCATCATTTGGGATGGCGTTTTTGCTTCTCAGCGCCGCTTAAAATCGTCCATCCTTGTGAAGGTCGAGGAGGAATGAGTTAGGTATGTGCTTCAGTTTGAGCATGTCAAGGTCTGATAATCGATACTAGCGCTAGCGGTCTCACTCAGTCCCATCGACAAAAATCCAACCCATTGGCGTCGTGTCTTCCCCCACGTCTTCATTGACGGTCATCATCACTGGGTCAGCCAGACACCAGCAAACTGCACCCTACTCCCACGATTTTTGAACTTCTGGCAATGTATGCGTCTACAAGCTCGATGCTGTTCCCATAGCGTCGCCCACAATTGTCGAGACGATTTCCTTCCCAAGACGGCCGCACTGTTCGGCGCGCTGTGCACTGTTAATAAAATATTGCCAACTTTCACGTTTGCGTCGACGGGGCCAGCAGCGCGTGTCGTGCCATCTATGTAAGCCACGTGCAC